CCGCCGGAGGTGGAGCGCCGAGGGCCCCCGCCCAGAGGTCGCCGTCTCTGAGGGCCGGCTGCCTTGTGCTCAGCGACCGGATGGCTGTATCCGTGGGCGCCACATGGGGCTGAGGAAGAGAGGGCGCCTGGGACTCAGGGACAGTGGCCCACCTTGCTGGCACAGCCACAGACTGACTGAGGCCCGGCCAGCCGGGGCCCTGCTGTCAGGAAGGGCTTCCGCAGACTCTCACTTCTGTCTTTTCACTTTTGAGACAGGGTCCTGCTGCGTATGTAGCCCACGCTGGCCTGGGACTCCCAGCGATCCTCCTGCCTCAGCTTCCCAAGTACTGGGATTACAGGTGTGCACCCATGCCTATTGCGTTGGGGTTTTGTTATTATCCAACAAGCACTTCTCGCCAGGAAAGCCCACATTCACAGCCAACCCTCAAAGATGCTCTTTTTACCATCACCATTCACAGATGGGGTTGGGGGCTCAGCAGAGGAGCCAAGGACTTGTCCAAGATCACAGGGCTGACACAGAGGCCAGGACGACCCCAGGCACCCCCACCCCAGACGCATGGCCTCAGCAAGGACCCCGATGTGACTGCCAGGAATGCCACTTGCCTACCCAGGCAAGCTTGCCTCCCTCTGTGTTTCTGCCAAGATCTAGCTTATGACCTCTCCGGCTTCTCCTCTTTCCTCTGATGGACTCAGAGGAGACTGTAGTTGGATGGACTCAACACTTATTTCCTGGAGGTCTTTTCTGAGCCGGGCACAATGCCAGGCCCAGGACACACGGCCTACCCATGTCCAGGCACACCTGGGAGCGCGTAAGACACAGGGGAGGAAGTTCAGGGAGACTCCCCAGAGGAGGTGCAGGCTGAGGAGCTGGTAGGTTCAGGGGATGGGGAGAAGGAACCAGCCAAGCGCGGAGGGATGTGAGCCAGACCAGAGGGCAGAGAGAGAGAGGGCAGGACCCCAGGAAGGCTGCCTGTCATGGGTCCTGAGCTGCCACCACCTGGACACCCCCACATCCACTGGGGCACAGAGAGGGGCCATGACCTGCCGATGCCACACAGGAGGTGGGTAGAAGGGCTGAGATCATCACGAAACTAATCCAATACTTCTGGTCCCTGTCACCTAGTTTGGTAATTTGTTAATCTGATTATTTTCCCGTCTCAGTCCCAGCTTCACAGCCAAAGCAGAAGCTCCCCAAGGATGGGGAGCCCTGGCTCTCCACAGCCCAGGATAGCTCAGCAGAGGGAGGACAGGGCCAGGCGACCTCTGCTTCCTAGTCTGGCAGACCAGGACTGAGCCTCCCGGTGACCCCACCACCGCCATCCCCGTGGCTCCACTCTGCAGGTGAGTCACACACTGGCCAGGCCTGCAGGGCCTGCCCTTCCCCGTGATACCCCTGACCTCACGGCTTGGCTGAGCCCCTGCTGGTCCCCAGGCTGCCAGAGCTACTCCTGGATCCCAGATCCTTTCCTTCTACACCGGTGCCACCAGCCTGGACCCAGTCCCCCCCCCCCTGCAGGCCTTGGCAGGTCCCATCCTGGCCCAGGGGCCCTTCATGGGAACCCCGGGCTCCGGAGAGACAGGCGCGCCTGGCTTGGGGCTGCCTACCTTCCTTCGTCCGCTGCCCGTCTTTCCGTCCAGCCAGCGGCGGGCCCTCTGTGGCGATGCCACGGCCACAGCTAGTTTAACTCCTGCCCTGCCTTCCCCTCCCGTGACTCAGACCTGCCTTCACCTCCCCGTGGGCGGGCGGCTGGTGGTGGCAGAGTGGATGGGAAATAGTTGTGTGAGGAAGGCCCACCCCGTGCACCCCTCCCAGCTAGCTCGCCCCAGGAAAGGAACTAGCAGAACCAGTCGGGCATCCCGACTCCACAGCTACCGGCTTGGCCTGACTGCCCTCCTCCCGGCTGGCTGGGGCGGGGGCTGGGGCCCTGGTGACTGGTGACACTGGCTTTAGCAGGAGGGAGCGACTTCACTTCCCTGACTCCTGGGAAGGAGGTGGGCTTTCTCAGAGCATCTTTGGGGAGCAGTGAAGGGAGGAGAGGTCAGAGGCGAGAGAGTGGTTGAACGTCCCACCTTGTGTCTGAGGGGACAGGGTCAGGCTCAGAGCGACAGGGGGAGGAAAGGCTGGAGGCGGGAGGGAGCAGGCCGGGAGCCCTGCCAGCGGGGTTATAAGCAAGGGTTTTTATCGAACACAATATGCCCAGGCATAAAAGGCAGTGAAACCCAAACCTGCTGCCGATAAAGTGGCTGCTGCTGCCGTATGGAATTACTGCAGTGACCTTGAGCCAGACCCTGCCAGGCACAGGGAAGGACATGGAGCAGCCAGGGCCCAGGAGGCCCATTCTGAGCTGAAGAGAAGGCAGAGGCAGGAGGGTGCCGCAGGCAGAGTAGTAACTGTTGGGCCGGGAGGGGCAGGGGGTCCCAAGGAGAACTTGGGGGTCTCAGAGAGGCAATGCTTCTCAGGTCCTGGAGGACGAGGGTGGGGGGAAGATTCCTGAAAGCGCTGAGGAAGCCGATGGCACACCACACTGGTGGGGACTTTGAGAGGGACAAAAAGAGCCCAGATCTGTCTGGTCAGGCACACGAGTTTGCCAAAGCCTCTGTGCGGCATCCGCTTCCCATCCTCTGTTCCCACTGGGTCCGTTGTGAGCAGGACAGGAAATGGCAGTGCCCATCCTGCTGCCAGAGGGACAGGGCTTCTGTCCTTGTCAGCCCCGGGGAACCCCGAGGCCAGACCTGCAGTGGTCTTCGGGGACAGCCACCGAAGTCCTGGGTGCCACCACAGACCCTTGGGGGCACAGGTAAAAATGCTCCAGGTCCTCTCTGGCCCTGGTGCCCCTGGGAAAGAAACAGCCGCGAGCCTCCTCTGTCGTCCTCACGGAAGCACCACTTACCTCCAGTGCGCGGCCCCGGCCCCAGCGGCCTCTGCAGTGACCCTGCCCACGCGGCTGGGGGACAATGGCACAGCCTCGGCAGCGGCTCCAGAGCCATCCACTACGGACACTGGTCCTGGAAACCCACTCTGTCCGGGGGCATAGACCCCTCAGCAGGCCGGCACGGGCTTCCCGCCGGCTGCAGCTGTGCCTCTGACTGCCTCCCAGACCAGCGGATGGGCAAGCGCTAGCGAGCAAGCAAGCAGGCGACACTCAGGAGGAAAGTTGCTCAGCTGGCTGGGCCAGTCTGCCTCAGCAGTAACAGGACACAGGAGGACGTGGGCAGGGCGGGGCCAGCGTCCTGCGCTTGCTGGATGGGGGACCCCAGGAGTGGCAGGAGCTGGAGCCTGCACCATGCCCGAGCCTTTCCCCTGGAAAGTAGGGGGGCTGGAGGGTCAGCACCTTTCCCTCCTCCTGGGGCCACAAGGACTTTTTCCCAGGGACATCACTCCATCTCTGCAGTTCCAGGAGGGACTGCACCGCCCTCTGAGAGCCTCCTGGTCCCACAAAAATACCAAATGTGAACACCAGGGGTTCCTGGCTCCTCCCAGCCCATACCATCTTTGATTCTATCAGCGCCTGGAGACCACAAGCCCACCTGCCATTCTGAGTGGGTCCCCACTAAGGGAGTGCAGGCTGCTGGAGGTGCCAGGTCTGAGCAGGCAGTGTCGTCCTTCCTAAGTGGCACCCATGCCCGCCCAGCCCACTTCACACTCTTCTGTGGCTATGCGGAACTGGGGGTTAACCCGGGACCTTTGCACTGGCTCTTTTAATTTTTATTTTGAGGAAGATCTCCCTAAGTCGCCCAAGGCTGGGCTCAAACTTGCCATCTTCTTGCCTCGGTCTCCCAGAGTGCTTGGATTACAGACACACGCCACCATGCTTGGCTCTTACGGCAGAAAAAAGGCTCAGAGCGGACGATTTGACACGGGGAAGGAGATAAAACAGACTAGGGCTGGAAAAAAACTCTGGCAGGGGGCTGGGGATTTAGCTCAGTGGTTCTGCCACCTGCCTCGCAAGCGCAAGGACCAGAGTTTGATCCCCCGTACCCCCCGTAAAAAACCCCTCTGGCCACAGACAGGACAGGGGGTCTGGCATCTGCGGACTAGGGTGGCCCTGGAGGCAGCTGAGGTAGAGGGCTGTGGGGACCCCCCCCCGTTCCAGTTCTCTCCCAGTCTCATGGAGTCGTACTTGGTGGTGACACTGGGGAGAAAGCCAGCTCCAGAAAGCCTCCCCTAGATGTGGGGGCCAAGGAAGGCCAGAGAAGGGAGCTCGAGGGCACAGCTATCTGCCCTGTCGCCTGATTGCATTCCTTGTCCTGCCACCAACTCCCTCCTCGTCCTTCTCCCGTCACCTGCCCAGGTGGGGGCGGCTCCAGACACTGCGACGACCTGGGCAGTGACTGAGCCTGTGGACGTCCAGCACCTAAGACACAGGCACAGCGCAAGTGCTACAAACCTCTTTAATGTCGTCTTTGTGACCCAGGGGGTGGCTTGGCCCGAGGCAGCTAGACATGCAGCTGTTCCTCAACATCCCCCCCGGGGCTCAGCTGGTCAGCCAGCACCATCAGGTTGGTCACCAGCGTGTCCAGCAGCCCGTAGACCTGGAGGAATGTGACAGGTGTCACAAGCAAAGGTTTGCTCAGTGGGAGGCTCTTGCTGTTAACCTGCACTGTCTCACAAATACCGCAGGTGCACACCTGTAATCCCAGCACCTGGGAGGCTGAGGCAGGAGGATCACTGTGAGCGCAAGGCTAGAATGAACTACACAGTGAGATCCTATCTTGACACAAAACAAGAAAAAAAATAAACTTCTTTCCTTATAAATTACCCAGCCATGGTATTTTGTTAGAGCAACTAAAATGGACTAAGACAATTCTCAGTGTTCTAAGGATCATGTCTGCCAAGTTACATCTAACGGGGTGGGAAGCCGCTGAGAGAGAAAAGCATCCTCTTTGGTGTCCCTCAGTCTGTTTTCTAGATGGTGGCAGCAGCAGCGACCCTGTGAAGCCCAAGTGCCTCCCCTGCCACCGGGCTCTGTCCTGATGGACTTTTTCTGGGGTGCTTATTTATAAGGTCTGCTTGGCTCACGAGAAGGGCCCTTCCCGGGGCAGCACCTCTGCCTCTGTCCCCAACAGGGCTGGGAGGGACCAGGCCCCAGGGTGGGTGGGGAGGCGTGGCCCGAGACTGCCCGCACCTCGGTGTACAGCCGCTGCATGTATTTCTCCATGACCAGAGGGTCGGTGGGCTCCTGGGACGCCGTGGTGCCGTCAGGCGTGGGGTCTTCTGAGGAAAGCCTGTCGTGACTTGTAGACTTTACTACTTTCTTGTCCTCCTTCGCCTTCTGCTTCTTGCTGTTCACACGCTCCTGCTTGGGAAGACGGGGTCCCATGGCTCCCAAGGTGGGCTCAGGGGTTCTGCGGGCTGGCCCTCTGGAGCCACCACCACCCTCTGATGCCCCTCCAGTGCCCTCCCTGACCACCCGGGGTGCAGACGGTGGGGGGCACGTGCCTCTTTCACGGGCGTCTTGGTTCCTTTTTTGTCCTCTTTGTCTCTGATTCCCCCTGGCCTCTTTTCCTGGGGTGCCCCTTTCCGCTCCTCCTTCCCAACTCTCCCGGCTGTCACCTTCATTTCCATGGTGGGAAGAGATTTCTGATCTAAGGGAGGTGAGCGGGAGGTGACGTGTGGGTGACCTGCAGCCTCACTCACATCCTAGGCTCGAGATGTGACAGTGAAGGGTGACAGCCCAGGGCCCAGCTCTCTGCAGGCCCCGCAGGCTGCCTCATTCAGGGGGAGGGACAAGAGATGGGGTTCCATGCTGGCCTGGGCTACACAGTGAGCTCAGGGCCAGCCTGAACTACTCAGAGAGACCCTGCCCCCAAAAAGCCAAAAAGAGAAAGGCTGGGCTCCACCTCTAGCCCTACTATTCCCTGCATATGGCCACGGAAAAGTCACTTGCATGGTCTGGGGCTCCACTTACAAACAAGTGGGGATTGCTAAGGTTTTTGCGAGGGTAGCTTCGGGGTCCCAAGTCTTGGCAGCAGACAGAAGGATGCTGGGGGCTCCACCTAGCAGGGCATCCACTGTGTGATGACAAATGGCCAAGAGCCCACAGCCTTCGGGGCAGGGGGCTGGGAGAGATGACTCAACAGCGTGGCTGCCCAGGCTCTGACCTTGCTCTTCTGGGGCAAACACGTAGATGGTCTCCTTCTCCGGGAGGCCCAGCACCATCCTCAGCCACAGGGAATGGCTCACGAGGCTGTCGATCACATCTCGCCACAGCTGCAAACTAGAGGGTTCCTCGTTGGCCCTTGATCCTGCAGAGGCCCAGGTCCCTACTGCCAGGAGCTACCATGGAAACACCATGCAGCCGGCACCCTACCCGGTGCTCAGGCGGGGTCCTGGCTTTCCCACTGCAGCTACCAAGGAAAATAGCCCAGACCTGGACTCAGGGTCTCATGCAGGCCTAAAGCTTCTGCACAGAGTTGCAGCCAGATGTGGGGCCTGCCCTACAGGAAGGGCTGAGCTGTGCAAAACCCCCCAACCCCACACCAGAGAGTCCAGCCACACAAGGACACAGAAGGGAAGCTGTTCGTGGAATCTGCCTCTTTCATTATTCTGCTCATTGAGAAGGAAAGAGAGGAAGGGAAAGGAGAAAAGAGAGGCTAGGACTTTACTCTGCCGGGTAAAGGGGCTACTGTGGCACGTTCCGATGCCTGGATGTCAACGGCATCTTCAGCACCTAAGCTCAAGGGAAGCTGAGCCCCTTGAGTCCCGGAACTTCCTCCCCAGGATCCCTGCCCAGATGCAGGGAAGGAACCAGGGTTGCTGGGGGTGGGGGCACCTACCACAGCTGGTACAGGAGGTCAGGCGGCAGCGGCCTCTGCTCTGGGCACAGCTCCAGGACTGCCCTGTTGAGCCTGATGAGCGCGTCCTCTTTCTCATGCCCCTCGGGGAGAGCCATCACGGCCTGGTTAGGGTCATGGGCACACGGGCAACTGTTCTGCCACAGGACTCCAAAGGTCCCTACGTGCTCTAGTGATGGGCACAGCGGTGTGGGACAGGGGGTGTGGGGCCAGGAGCCAGGAGCCAGGTCCCCCTAGGCTACCTTTTGTGGGGCCTGGCACCTCCCTCAGAAATCTGTACCCGTGAACCCTTCTCTAAATTTTTCCAGGGTCTCAGAGGGAGCCTTTTCTGTACCATAGACACCTGGTGCTCCAGGAAAAAACATGGGACCCAAAGGATCACTTTCTGGGCCCTCAGGAGGTTCAGTAGGGCTGCTGGGGTATCCCTTGTTGGCTCTGAGCACTGTGCCCAGCTGCCAGCACCCCTCTGGGTCTCAGGAGCACCTTTCTGAAGTCGCCCAGGCAGAGGTTCCACTCGGACAGGGACAGGCCATCCGGCTCTGAGCGGCTCCTGGAGCTTTCCAAGTCTGGGTTCTCCTCCACCAGGATCTCCTCCATGATGCTCTTGCGTGGGGAATTCTTGGCTCCTGCTGCAGACTTCTGGGATGGGAGGGGCTCTCGGGGATCCCTGAGGGTCTTGCTCTCTGGCCGGGGCAGCTGGAGCTCTGAAACGGGATTCTTAAAGTGCTCAGGATTTGCTGGGACCTTCTCCACAGAGACTGCCTGGATCCTGGAGCTCAGGGGCTCCTCCTGGCTGAGGCGGGGCTCCCTGTCCTTGAGGGGCAGGATCATGTACTGGTGCCACAGCTGGTGCAGACTTTGTACCGCCTGGTGCTGGTAATGCAGCTGCAGCAGAGGAGAGGATGGTGAGGGGAGGCTGGCCAGGGTATGCGGCGCCCATACCAGCCGGCTACCATTTCCTTTTGCTGCAGGAGCTAACACGGAATGAAGGGGCCAGCGGATTCCCCACTTCCCCTTCACCCGGAGCGTCTCCAATTAAAGCTATTTTTGCACTGGGGCTGCCAAGAGAGACTGGGTTTTGCTGGGCATGGTGGTGCTTGCTTATAATACCAGCACTCGGGAAGCTGAGGCAGGATAGCCGGCTACCATTTCCTTTTGCTGCAGGAGCTAACACGGAATGAAGGGGCCAGCGGATTCCCCACTTCCCCTTCACCCGGAGCGTCTCCAATTAAAGCTATTTTTGCACTGGGGCTGCCAAGAGAGACTGGGTTTTGCTGGGCATGGTGGTGCTTGCTTATAATACCAGCACTCGGGAAGCTGAGGCAGGAAGATTTTCATGAGTTCGAGGCCAGCCTGAACTATATAGGGAAACCCTGTCTAAAAAAACACACACACACACACACACACACACACACACACACAAAACACCTTAAAAGAGAAAAAAGAAAGGCTGGGTCGAAGAGTCTGTGCCGCCACTCTGTGCGCCCCCAAGTCTCCACTTGCTGGCCAGCTGGCCACCACCCTTAACCTCTCTGAGCCTCAGTTTCCACGGAGTAAAATAAGGGTGTAAACGTCACCCCGGTCCCATAGGGCTGCTGGGGAAGGGCACCCACAGTGTGCAGCCTGTACCCCAGGGTTCCTGTGGTGAAACAAGTCCTCCTCCGTCACGTAGGCATCCACAGGGGACGGCGTGCGCTCTGGGGTCAGGATCCCCCTCAGCAGCTCCTGCAGTACGCTGTGCACGATGGTGACTGACTCGTGGGCAGCCAGCTTGCTCTGGGGAAGGGAAGGTGGCACGTGATGGTATCCCAGGCTCCCAGGGACCATGGGTCCTCGAGGGGGCCAGACACCTGGGGACCTCGTGCCTCCCTAGGGTGAGATTTCCCGCCATGGCGCCCTTCTCTCTCTCTCTCTCTCTCTCTCTCTCACACACACACACACACACACACACACACACAAACACACACACCCCTCTTCGAAGACTCAAAAGCCTTTGGGTGTCTCTCTCTCCAAATGTCCTTGTTCCCTGGCAGAGACCCAAAGGACAAGGCTCTGAATGGGACCTGGAGGTCTCGCATTAGCAGCTCCCCCATCAGAAGTAGGGGGCAGGGCGCACAGTTTGGGCCCCCGCTGAGAATGGCAGTGAACTTTTACCCAGCCTGGCCACTCAGTCAAGGACATTGGCCCTCCATTCAGCGAGTACCAGGAGCCTGACGTTTGTCAAAATCACCTTTGATCACCCTGGCTGAGGCACAGCTGCAGTAGCTGGCTGTGTCTGGGGCCTCGGTGAATGAAACCCCACAGCTCTCTGCAGAATCCCGCAAAGCACCACCCATAACAGCCACTGCAGGTGGCAATTCCTGGGATGTCAGTGATAAAACAGGGTGCGGAGACGGGTTATTAAACTGTCACCGCCTGTGGTTTGGCAGTCTTGTCAGTTAAATGTCCCTCTGGCAGGAAACAAAATACAGCCAAGGGTCACGTGATCGGTTTGGTACACACCTCCCTGAATCGCAGGACTCCAGTGCCTTCCTTTCCAGCTTGCTGGGGGCCCTGCCCCGTGAGGCTGCCCGCTGCCCTCTCCCAGCCCGCCCACCCCATCTGCTACATCCCAAAGCCCCAGACGCGCTTATGGAACAAGCTTGGTTGCCTGTGTGTGAAAATTCACCTCCTGGGCTGGGAGAAATAAGATCCCCATGGGTGCTGTGAAGAACGGCAGGGTAGTAACCTATCCGGTGTCCCCCAGGGCTAAAGTCCTGGGTCACTTACCTCAAGCAACTTCCTCTCATCCCTGAAAATGTCCTGGGTCAGGGACACTGCCTGCAGGGTGACCAGCAGGAGGGCACCGCCCAGGAGGGTGGGGTGGGTTCGGAACTCCCAAGACTCCCTGAAGATCCCGGCATTCAAAGACTTGAAGAAGAAGGTAAAGGTTTTTGTTTCTCCGGGCAGAATCACACCTGAGAGGGCAGGAGGCAGAGGTCAGGGAGAACCAGCTGAGCCCCACGCCTGCACGGGGAAAGTGAACTGAGCCCCAAGCTCCATTCGACTGCAGCCCAGGTCATTCTGGGACTGAGAGGTTTCCTGGAGCAGGTGACTTTGAGTGTTAAAGCTGGTAAAGTTCCGGGCAAGCAGGGACAGGGGTCCTTCCTCGCCTCAGCCCTGTGCAGGGCGGGGAACGGTGCACCCACATCCCCAGCCTCCGTTCCCAAGCACTCCTCATTTCTCTCCACAGACACAGCTTTGAGACTGATGCAGGATGGAAGAAACAAAGACAGGTAGAAAGGAGACATGGAAAATCGTAACTTAAAAATTGTACTTTGCCAGGCATGGTGGAGCCCAACATTTAGGAGGCTGAGGCAGGAGGATCACCACAAATTTAAGGTCAGTCTGAACGACATAAGGAGACCTTAATTATCCTGCTGGGGGGTGAGGCATCTTTTCCATAATTTCCCCCTCCCTCAAGAGAAACATAAATGTTCCTAGGTCCAAGAAATAATGAGCCTCTCTCCCTCTCTCCCTCTCTCCCTCTCTTCTCTCTCTCTCTCTCTCTCTCTCTCTCTCTCTCTCTCTCTCTTTCCTCTCTCTCCACTTGACATTCTCTTTCTTCAAGTTCATACTTTAAAAATTCTGCCTAATAAATCCTTTATGCCTCTTACCGATACATCCTAAAAATTCTTCTTGCACAATGGAAGTCAGCAAACCTGCAATTTATCCCATGGGTGTTGTAAGAGAAGTTAATCTCCCATCTCCACTTTGGTCCCTGCTGCGACCCTATCTGGTAATAAGATCACTCACTTCGCAGAAGGACGGGGGACAAGACCAGGAGGAGAGGCTCGAGCTTGTAGGAGCCAGGCACTGACTAGGTGTTGGTATCTTCCGGATGTTGGGACAAAACCAGGAAGCAAGCCGGGCGTGGTGGCGCACGCCTATGATCCCAGTCCTCGGCAGGCTGAGGCAGGAGGGTCGCCACAAGCTCCAGGCCAGCCTGAACTACATAGTGAGTCCCTGTCTCAAAAACAAAACACAAAACAAACAAACAAAAAACAAGAAGCAGGAGGAGGGCAGCTTCGCGGTACCTTCCCGGTTGTTGAAATAGAACTGCTGAGTCCTGATTCTCTTCAAGTCCTGGAAAGAGTCCAGCTGAGGCCGCCGCCGCCAGTCATACCCAATGGCCACCGTGCCATTATTGACCACAGTCAGTTCTGAGGACGTCTTCTGCCCTTCGAGGGTTTCAAAGGTCAAGCGTACCCCAATTCCGACCTGGCTCTGGGCAAGGAGGAGGCCTGAGAACTGTCCCGATTGGAAGGTGACCAGCTCATCCCCGTTTGCTTGTAACTTCTCTGGGCTTAGCATTAAAAGTCCCCTGTCCCTCAGGATGGTGTCATACCCAGTGATGGCTGTCTCCAAGGTTACCATCCACAGAAGGAAAATGAATAGGTTTGCTACCCAGGCGACACACTTCCACTCCTCAGCATCTGAGGGCTATTTCAGAACCTCTGGGTGTGCAAGTCTGCCTAGCTACCTGCTTGGGGGCTAACACACTGGGAGCTCGTGATGCTCTCTTTTCAGCTGTGTGATTTTATTCCTACTTGAGGTAGCGTTGCTGTTACCATTTTCAGACGCGGCAAATGTGCAACCAGATAAAAATGCCAACAGGAGACTGCACAAGCTCTTTGCGACTGCCACGGTCACCTTGGGCTGCACCCCACCCCGGGAAGGCCCTTCCACCAGGGGCTGATGGTGCAGGTGGCTCTACCTTGTCCTGTGAGTTGCGGCCTCTGATCCAGCAAGCCGGCTTCCCGCAGAACAGCAGAGAAGGTCCGAGAATGGGCATGAGGGCCGCATCGCCGGGACCAGCCCAGAAGTCTCTGTAAGAAAACCAACCACTTAGATTCCAGAGGCTGCACCATCAGGCCACACGGAGCTCACAGGCATGGCTGCCCACTCCCGGCCCGCTGTCCCTGCACTCACTGGCAGGCTGTGTCTTCCGAGACGCTCTCCTGGCTCTTCTCAAACACGGCGCTGTCCTCCACTGTGACGGATGAGAACGGCTGCCCTCGGCCCACCACCTCCAGGCAGTCAATACCCTCAGGGGACATGGGGAGGAAAAGTGAGCTGAGCTGTGGTGGGCACCGGCCCAGGACCCTCAGCCAGGGCACGAGGTGCCGCCACCAACCCTCTGGCTAAAATCCAGCTCGGCCATGAGGCTCTGCAGCTCCCTGCGCCGGTAGATCAGAAAGAGACTCCGGTCCCAGGCGCGGTGGTGCCAGGTGTCCTCTGGGGCAGATAATCCTAGAGGGCGCCGAGGGCCTCAGCACCAGCTGCTACCGCACCTCCCCTCACCCACTGCTCCCCGAGACCCCGACAGCACCCCTCCTGACACCGTCTCTGACAAGGATGAACAATCCAGCTTCGAGGGGCCTCTGGACACCCCATTCCTGCTCAGTAGCCCTACACCGACCCCCGCAAAACTAGCTTCCAAACGCCAAGTCTTTGAGCCACAATTAGAAACAACCATAGTAGCTACTTTTTTCTTTTTCATTACAGGGGACAGAACCCAGGAGTGCTATATCACTGAGTTATATCCCCAGCCCTTTTTATTTTACATTTTGAGACAGGGTCTCCCTAAATCATTCAAACTTGTGATCCTCCTGTCTCAGCCTCCCCCAGGGCTGGGCAGCTGCCTGTTTAGTGGGTTACTGAGCCTGAAATCCTTGATGAATGTCTTGTCTCATTTAAACCCCCACCCCCAGCCCCCTGTGTAGCCTACAGATGATGAACCACGGGCCGGAGGGGTCAAATACAGCACTCCGTGGTGTTTAGAAATCCAACACACTGGGATCTGGACGCAAGCAGCTGGCAGCTCTAAAGCCGGGCTGCCCACGCACAACATAACGCAAGCCACCCGTGCCAGCCACGTGTGTATCACAAACCGTCTAGCTGCTATACTGAAAAAGGTGACGAGAGGTGTGACTCATTTCATGTGGTTTATTTAACTTAATATATCAAAATGAGTGCCACTGCCACGTGTATCCAATATACAAGATGTTAATTATATTTCGCCAAACTAGCCTTTGAAACCCAGGGTGTAGCCTACGTGATGGCCCAAAGCCACACAGGGCCAGGATTTGGTCCCAACAAGCCAGGCTGGTTCACAGCCCTGCTCCTTACCCATTTCCGCCTGGATGGAACGCGGCTTCCTGATGCAGGCAACGGGCTCTGCGAGGCCACGCTGAGTTTTTGTCTTGGTGATGACCAAACCCGTCTTCTCCCCTCCCAAGTATTCCAGGGGACTCCAGAATGCACTGGTCTCCTTGTAATCCTGGAGAAGGGACAGAGCAGGGAGGTCAGCTCGACACCTCGGCCAGGGGCTGGGAAGACAAGAGCAGCTGAGACTACAGTGCCCCGTGGGGCAGGGACAGGGGTCCGAGGCAGCCAGGTGGCAGAAGAGAAGACACACACATGGGCCTGCTCCTGGCCAGGGTGCCCGCCATAGCCTTGACCGCCCCCAGAGAGGCGCCGGGGCAGGGCAGGGCGCTGCCCAATCGCTGTTACACAGGGACAAAGCGCAGAGCCTCAGAAAGCCCAAGGACTGGAGGCTGAGCCTTTCTCAGAAGCTCTGCAGCTCTTGAACTAACGGCATCAAGTCGACCAGCGTGACCACCCCAGGCTGAGCTATTACACAAACCCGCCCTCCACACCCAACAGTTGGGTTCAGTGTGGGCCCCAGCATCACACCATTTCACGGCGTTCTGCCGAGGTGAGCGTGCAACCCGTGAGAAGCCACCTCGGGGCGTGGACGCCTCCCCTGCACCCCAGCCCCTGCCGGGCCGCCCAGGAGTGGCCGTCCTCACTTTCCCATCATGCCCGGTCGGCAGGAAGCGGTCGATGAGCTCCCGTTCCTCCTGGATCCGCCTGTAGGTCTCCCCCGAGTGCATCAGCAGCTGGCTGACCGGCTTCTTCAGGTGTTCTAGAGAGTGAGGGGCAAGGATGCAGCAGGCTCCTGAGCCCCGCACGGCAGCACTGCCGCACTGGGATGGAAGCCGGGACATTCCCACTGAGCTCCATCCCCGGCCTTTTCTCTTGTTTTTTATTTTAAGACAGTATCTCTCTATCTCTGTCACTAAGGCGAAAGCAGAGAGTCTGAGATCCCTAGTGCCAGTTAAGGGGCAGGGGCCTCTGTAAGTCATTCAATTGCCCAGGCTAGGTTCAAACTTGTAGTCCTCCTGCCTTGGCCTCCCACAATGCTGAGATTACACGGCAGGCCGAGCCCAGAGGACACAGAGGGGAGAGAAAAAAGCCAAGCGGAGCATCCACGCCAGACTGGCTCTGCTCACTGCTGAGGGCTTCCTGCTGCTTCTTCTGCAGGGCCACATGCCGCTGCCAGTGTTTCAGAAAGTTGTGCTGAGGTGGCGGGGCCCGGGGGAGCCTCTTCTCCCGCTTCGGGGCCTTTGGCGTTGGTTCTTCTCCAGCTGAGATGAGGGTCACAAGGCAGGGTGGAACACGGATCAGCTCGGCCAGCTGGGAAGCACAAGGTGGGCATTGGGGAAGGGGACCCTGAACCGGGGCCCAGCCGGCTGGATCCTCCCCATGTCCCTGGAGAAGCCCCCTGCGGGCCTGGGAGTGGCGGGTGACACAAATCGCAGGACCAGTGGGACACTGATTCTGATTTCAGTGAGCATCTTGAGCACTGGATCTCTACCTCACAACTGATGCTAAGTGGCCCCTTTGCCCAGAGTGAACTGAGCCTTTTTATTTATTTATTTTTCTTTTTTTTGGTTTTCTGAGACAGGGTCTCACTATGTAATTGAGACTGACCTAGAACTCACTGTGTAGCCCAGGCTGGTCTCAAACTCTCAGCAATCCTCCTGCCTCAGCCTCCCGAGTGCTGGGATTACAGGCGTGCGCCACCATGCCCGGCTTGAACTGAGCCTTTTTATGCCACCCCAGGCAACCTGCCACCATGGAGGAGCAGGATCTGAGAACAGAGAAGCACTGCATGATGGGAAGGCTGCCTTCCGCTCCACGTGACCCAGCGTGACTCTGTAGGCAGCAGAATAAAATGCCTTCATAACGGCTCTTAGCCAGGCTCTGTACAAACGAACCTGGGTGTTCCCTCGAGCAACTGCAATCCTCTTAAAGTCCTGGAGAGTTCCCAAAATGTGGTGAGGCAGGATCTGGTCAGGGCCATTGAAGCTGTCACCAGGACCTGGAGGGGAAAGAGGGACAGAGAAAGAGGAGCTGGAGGTTAGGGAATATAAACTGCCGAATGGGGCAGCTTTCCGAGGAAGACCGGTCCTACCCGAGTAGTCCAGGGGCTTTGCAGCCGCTTCTGGCTTCGCGGGATGCGCTACCAAGTGGCGGATCTTTCTCCGAGAATCCTTCGGTTTGAGCTTACGGATGAAAAATTTCTGGATAATGGCCGGGCTGTCTTCAGTAAGGCGAGGAACGTGTTGCTAAAAAGAAAACAGAGGGGAATTGCACCTGTGAGGAGGAGGAGGAGGAGGAGGAGGGCGAGGAGGAGGGGGAGGAGGGGGAGGAAGCGGAGCCCCCCATCTGCTCCTGGTGGGATTCCTGGATGCTGGTGAGGCCTCTTCCCTAGCTCGGCCCGTATGTTCTCTCCAGGAAACGTCTGTGGAACAAGACAGAGCAGCATCCTGGAGAGGAAAAATAGCAGCAGAAGCCTCCAGGTGAGAAGTGGCTGACAGCAGGGGTTAGGACTCAGCAGTTCTAGCCCCACGTCCGCTGCTCAAATTCAGTCTTTCGGCTGACCACAGTGGCACGTGCCTGTAATCCCAACATTCAGGGAAGCTGAGGCAGGAGGACTGCAAGCTTGAGCCCAGACTGGGTGACAAAAAAGGCCGGGATGTAGCTCCGAGGAAAGGCCCTGGGTTCAATTCCTAGTAACACAAACAAATACTCGTTTTCTGATCTCTGAAAAGGGAACGATAGCACTTGCCTCTCTGGGAAGCAAGATACATCGCTCTCCCATGAAGTTCCACACAAATCTCGGAAACATGAAAACAGACAATGCAGTGAATTCCTGCAAATGCTAGCATGGAAAGAGCCAGTGTTTTTCCCTGGACACAGATACTCCTGGGAAACAGCAGAGACGCGGGTAGGCCGGGAGCCTGGCCTCACCCTTACCTTCTGCAAGTCTTCCTTCTTTATGGCCAAGGCGAGAATGTCATCTCCCTGTAGCACCTTGCTGATGGGCTCCGGCTCTTCCTGAATAGGGGGTGTGGGCTGCTCAGGTATCTTTGCCCGCTTCCGATCTGAAAAAGAAAAGAGAGAGAGAGAGACAGAGAGAGAGAGAGAGAGAGAGAGAGAATTGTAAGTTTTTATGTAAGGAAGTTGCTGTACACATAAATCTAAACATAAAATAACAATTCCTTATTAGAGTACACAAAGGAGCAGGGCTGGCCCCTTGGTCAGCCTGGCAGCAGTCTGGGGGGCACCCAGCTGGGCTATGGGAAGTCTTTCTTCAGGGCCCCTTTCCCATTGTCCCTGGACTGACCCAGTGACTAAGGCTTCGGTCATCCATTGTGTGGAGCCAGAGCCTCAACCACGCCCTTGCATTTAAAAAATTAAATCCTGAAAAGCCACTGTGGTGGTGTACGCGCATAATCCCAGCACTCAGGAGGCTGAAGCAGGAGGATTGCCACAAGTGTGAGGCCAGCCTGGGCTACACAGTGAATTCAAGACTAGCCTGGAATATATAGTGAGACCCAGTCTTTAAGAAAAACAAAAAACAGGGCCAGGGATTTAGCTCAGTGGTTCTGCCACCTGCCTAGAAAGCGAAAGGACCCGAATTCGATCCCCAGTACCAATTACAAAAGAAAACAAAAAAGCCCACTAAATCTTGGTGCACAGTGGTTAGGGACAACTGGACTCATCATTTCCTTGGCCTCCTCTAGCGCTGGCACTCTGGTTTAAGGTGAAGGCATCAAGTTCCTTAAGACTGGTTAAAAAAGGGCACTGTGTGGGAAATAGCACATTCCCACAGACCATTGGTTCTATACTACGATGGTTTACCAGGGTTGGGGCTACGTTCTGGGGACACAAGGCAGCAACCCAGTCTACAAAGGGCACACGCCCAGGGGACACTGAGCTAGTGACACTATGAGACACCCACGGGCCCCAGTCCCGTCTGCAGAGGGGAGCGGACAGGGAAGCCTTCCGGTGATGCTTAACCAGCCCAGAAAAAGGTGAGGAGAAGAGAGGCTGGGAAATGCCCTGCAGCCCTGGAACTCCAAGCCTGAGTCCCGCAGCACAGCAAGGTGGAAGCAGGAAGCCACGCCTCACAGAGTCTGCTGGGCCCTGCAGCTCAAAAGACTTCAGCCTTTCCCCCGAGGGCAGAGCTGGCACAAGATGGCCTGGGGTGCAAGACTGGGGACCTGGGGACCGCAGTATAATGAAGGAACCATGACTATAGTGCTCTTGAGGCTGGAGGGGAAGGGAGAGATCCTGGCCCCTGCCTCTCCTGCAGCTGCAGTGTGGGGGCACGGAGGGCACAGGGAGCCCAGCGCTCCTCCCTCTACAGACACTCGCCCAGCCTGCCTTCCCAAGGCTTAGCCAGGCAGTGTGCAGCCCCTTCCGGTGGCTGTGACCCAGGCCTTTTCCCTCTGGTTCCAAACAGCACAAAACAATTGCAAGAAAACCCAAGCCCTGCCTTCGAGCCTTTTAAAGCCAAATTTGGTTTTTTCTCTACTGCTTCTCAAAGTATCCAAATCTTTTTTCTTTTCTTTTCTTTTTGTTTTGAGATTGGGTCTGTGATATATAGTCCAGGATGGCCTTAAACTCACTATGTAGCCCAGGCTGGTCTTGAACTGAGCTTAGTTTCCTGCCTCAGCCTCCACAGTGTTGGGATTACAGGTGTTTTGCCAACTTGTCTGGCTCAAATGCTCTGATTTTTAAGAGAATATATCAGTAAAACATCAAGGCAGGGTTTCTAGTTAACCAAATCAAACTGTGTGGCATGTGTGTATTACTAGGGATGGAACCCAAGGCCTTCACACTGAGCTATATCCCTAATGCTTTTTAGTTTAAATTGCCTGGGCTGAGTTTGAACGTGCCATCTTCCTGCCTCAGCCTCCCAGAGCGCTGGGGTTACAGGCCTGCACCACCATTCCTGGTAAAATCAAACTTTTTTTTGGTGGGGGGGGGCAATACCAGGAATCGAACTCAGGTCCTTGCACTTGCAAGGCAGGCAGTGGAACCACTGAGCTAAATCCCCAGCCCTAAAAGTAAACTATTTTTAAAGGAAACGTCCACATAGTTGGTGGCAAAAAAAAAAAAAGTCCCAATCTTTCCAAACATAACTCTAAATCCCACCTATGGGCCACAGTCCACTAAACACAAACACACACACGAGCACACAGACGCATGGAGTGCTCACCGGCCACCATGCATAGAGACGCAGCCTCAGCCTTTGACCTCACTGCTTCTCCCTTCTACACAAACTCCTCCGAGCAGCCGGCAGTCCACCAGAGAACCGGTGCCGGCCGAAGGTCGGAGTTTATCAATGTTTTGGTACACCGTTCTTCTCCCGATCACCTCCGTTGGTCTACATCTTCCCAGAGGATTAAACACCTCCAGATGTGTGTGCCCATCTCACCAGTGGGTGCAGAGTTACCTCAGGGAATACAGACCCTCAACACTACTGAAGATTTCTAGGGCCAGAGCTCCCTCCTCATTTAGTGACACAGAAGCTACTTTTTAGTGTTTGAGATTGAAGCAGCCAGCGACACCGGTCTGAGATTTTTTTCCGAGTCAGTCGTCTTGAATGCAGTACAATAAATGCCCTGTTACTGTGCAGTCAGAGAACAGTGTGTTCCAGAGAATAAAATGAGATATGCATTGTCGCTGGGCACAGTGTGGCACACCTATAATCCCCAGCACTCAGGAGGCTGAGGCAGGAGGATCACAAGTTCAAGGCTAGATTGGGCCACATAGTGAGTTCAAGGACAGACTGGAATACACAGAGAGACCCTCTGTCAAAAAGGGTGGGGGACCAAAGCTGAGTGCTGCTCGCATTGCTTCATTCATCCTGACAGCTGAGGGGTCAAAGGGACCAGCCCGCAGCACAGGGCAGTCAGGTCACAACTTCTGCTGGAGGGAACTATGGAGACAGAACAAATCTGGACTCAAGGTTCATTTTTTGTTTGGTTGGTTTGGTTCGGTTTGGTTTGGTTTGAGACGGGGTCTTGCTAGGCTGTCTCTGAAATTCCAGAGAAGCAATTCTCCTGCCTCAGCCTCTTGAGTGCTGATTTTATAAGCATGAGCCACCATACTTGGCTGGACTCATTTTTTCTGCTTCTTATTTTATCTAAATATAATTCTTTTTTTAGAGTTAAATCTTTGGGAAAATCTGACCTCAGGTGCACTAGGCAAGGACTGTTCCTACCAGGACAGTGTTTTACTCAGCAGGGGAGGAGGATGGGTCTAGACCATGGGGAGTCCTCCCTGTTTCCTAGCAACAAGACCAGCAAGAAACCTGGGCCCCTAAATAGGTTTCTGGTCACTGGATCTGCTTCCCTTTTCTGCTCATGATTCTGAGGCCATGGAAACAGCACAAGATTACAGCGTCTGAGCATATGCTGGACTTCTCTGAGAAGTTCAGGAAAAGGAGAGATTCTACCTCAGCCCACAAAGAATGGCTGCTACCAAGAAATCAAACAATAACAAATGTTGGCGCGGTTGTGGGGAGAAAGGAACCCTTTTCCCCTGTTGGTGGGAGTGCAGACTGGTGCAACCACTATGGAAATCAATATGAAGATACCTCAAAGAGCTGGGACTAGAGGTTCCATTTGACCCAGCCATCCCTCTGCTGGGTATCTTTCCAAAAGAATTAAAAGAATCGTATCACAGTGATATATGCGCACCTATGTTTATAGCGGCACAGTCTGTAATAGCTAAAATTTGGAAACAGCCCATTTCTCATCAGTTGGAAACTGGATAAAGAAGATGTGGTTTTTCTATAAAATGGAATATTACTCAGCCATAAAGAATGAGAAATTAGATTCATTCATAGGAAAATGGATACATATTGAGGATATACTTCTAAGTGAAATAAATAAGTCACCCATGTAAATACTGAATAGTTTCTCTGGTGTGAATAAACTATAATAGTACCTAAGATCCTAATGAGATAATTGACAATGTGAAATAGGAAGAAAAGGACTAAGGGTGTAGGGAAAGTGGGAAGGGTAGGGGAAAGCTAATAAGGGAAAAGAAAAAAATATGAGAAAATGAAAAAATGGAAATAAAGTGTTTGTAAATGGGGAGGGGAAGGGGGGGTGAAGGGAGAGCAGGGACAAGGGGAAAAATGAGAACCAAGACCTGTCATGTAAAGGTACAAGATCCCAGTAATGAATGTAAATGTACTGTATACCTAAAATGTACCAATAAACTCAATGAAAAAAAAAGCAGTTCAGGAAAAGGAGCTCATGCCTGCTAAACCCTTCACTTTCACCTGCCTCACTCTGTCGGGGGCCTGTTCTTAACCCAGGGCTGTTTAATTTCCCCCTTATTAAAAACAAACACAGCGAAAAATCTTTCCTTGAATTGTTTACAGCCGAAAGTTCCAATCTGATTAAGATCGCACAGAAACGAGGCGAGCAGGAACAGCTGTTGGAAAAGCCCTTGGCCGCCCTTGGAAAGGGAACCAGGTCCCCCCCCACCCCCCAACTACTAAAAAGTCTGTTATGAAACAGCACCAGCCTTCTGCACTGTGAAGAAGCACAAAAGAGAGCCACAGGTTCTTGCCGGCGTCCCAGGTCTCCCAGGGAACCCTGCCGACCCGGGCCTGGCCTCCTCCACACCGAGTGTCCCCTGAGCAGCTGAGGCCTGGAGCCCCAGACTTCCGGACCCTGCACGGCGCCCCCTCTGGCTCTCAGGTTCAGGGCTCCAGGAAGCTCTGCTCCCCACGTGTGCAGAAGCAAACCCCACTCGATTCCAGTTCTTCTTTGTCCTTTTTTCCCTCCCTTCCCTCTTCTCCTCCTCTTCCTTCACCGTGAATAGCGTTTTTTGGGAATACCACCCGAGGTCCCTAACCCACCCGCGGCACCTACAGCACGTGTCTGTCACTTTTATCTGGGTTCTCCTCGGGGTCTCCCTAGACTGAGTTTCCAGAGGGCTGGGGTCACACATCTAACACTGATGCTCTCTGTCAGAGCCTGGAAACACCACGGCCCCCAAGGCGCATGTGTGTGGGTGATGGGGTGTTAAAGCTGACTTGCTGTTCCAAGACGTGGGGGGTCACTGTGGGCCCGGC